AAATATTTAAAAAAATACACGCATGATTTCTTTATGAAAAAAATACTTTCAAAAAATCCACGTCTGATTTCTTTATGAAAAATATATTAAAAAATTTCTATATGAAAAAAAATATTTTCCACAACAGGCGGGTATTTGTAAAAAATTCGCGTCTGGCTGTTCTTAGAAAAATATTTAAAAAAGTATCTTCGTCTGGTTGGTCTTTGCAAAAATATTTTTTTAAAAAAAATCAGGTCAGACAAGTCTTTGGAAAAATATTTTTACAAAACTCCACATCTGCCTCGTCTTTGGAAAAATATGGTTAGTCTTTGGAAAACTATTTTTAGAAAACTTTTTAGGAATGGCTGGGTTTGGAAATATATTTTTAAAATAATCAGCATTTGATTATTTTATTAAAAAATATTTTTAAAAAAATCCACGTCTCGCTAGACTTCAAAATAATTTTTTTATTAAAATTCACGCCTGATTATTACATGAAAAAGGAAATTATTTTTAGAATTCCACATCTAATTGATCTTTTAAAAAATATTTTTAAAAATCCACGTTTATAGGGCACTTGAAAAAATATTTTCAACAAATTCAAGTCTATTTAATCTATAGTTTTTTTTTTTAAATCCCCGTCTGGCTGGTTTCTCGAAAATAATTTTCCCTGGAAATTCTGGTTGTTCTATGAAAAAATAATATTTTTTAACCCACTTCTAATTGGTCTTTAAAAAAATATTTTTATAAAGCCCAAATTTATTGGGACCTTGGAAAAATATCTTCAAAACTTCCACTTCTATTAAATTTATGAAAAAAAAAAATATTTTTTTAAATTCCTGGCGGTCTTTGAAAAAATATTTTTCCAAAATTCACTTCGAACTGTCTATAGTCTTTTTTCAAATATCCACCTTGCCTTGATGTTCGATTTTTTTAATCGATGTTAAAAAAAATGTTTTTGGCTCCTAATTTTATTAACCACATAATTCACTGCTCTCAACTGTTAATAACTGTCAACTAACTATCTATCGCTTGTGTAGCTGGCATTACCACTTTGAGCCGTAATCAAGTTTTAATACAAAAGTGTTTTGTAACTCTCCGATTGCCAATCATGGTAAATTGCATTAGCATTGATAAACAGACAGAAAAAACAGCAAAAAAATTGAAAACAGTTGTGTAGCAAACAACCAGCCAGCCAGACCATGAGTGCTGCAGAAAATGACAACACTTAATAATGCCACAAAAAGCCCATAAACGGACCATAGATATGAGCAGAAAATTACAGAGATATTAAAACAAATTGTCAAGTGTCCCATTGACAGGCGAAGAGACAGGCAACACTTGAAAAGTTGATGAAGCAAAACAGAATAATAATAATAAGAATAACAACAACAAATGTGTTTTAATTGAGGGCAACGAGGAAACGAAATTGATGAAAATGTGGTTATAATGACATGCAAAATTAATGAGGTTATGGGGGACAAAAAAAAAAACAAATATTGAAAAATATATAAAAAAAGATTTTTTTTTATAAAAAAATTAAAAAAAAAATATTTTATTATTATTTTTTTTTTAATGGAAACGCATTTAAACAATTGTGACGAGTAAAAAATGTGGCAAAAATGAATTGCAAACTGAATGATGATATGACCGGCCATTCAAAAAAAAAAATTAAAAAATATGAAAATATATATTTAAAAAAAAAAAAACAGTTTATTCATTAAAAAAAAAATCAAAAAATCCCTATCTAATTCATTTTTAAAAAAATTATTTTAAAAAAATTTACGTCTAATTTTTCTTTAAAATATATTTTTAATAAATCCACGTCTAATTTTTCTTTAAAATATATTTTTAATAAATCCACGTCTAATTTTTCTTTAAAATATATTTTTAATAAATCCACGTCTAATTTTTCTTTAAAATATATTTTTAATAAATCCACGTCTAATTTTTCTTTAAAATATATTTTTAATAAATCCACGTCTAATTTTTCTTTAAAATATATTTTTAATAAATCCACGTCTAATTTTTCTTTAAAATATATTTTTAATAAATCCACGTCTAATTTTTCTTTAAAATATATTTTTAATAAATCCACGTCTAATTTTTCTTTAAAATATATTTTTAATAAATCCACGTCTAATTTTTCTTTAAAATATATTTTTAATAAATCCACGTCTAATTTTCTTTAAAATATATTTTAAAAAATCCACGTCTAATTTTTCTTTAAAATATATTTTTAAAAAATCCACGTCTAATTTTTCTTTAAAATATATTTTTAAAAATCCACGTCTAATTTTTCTTTAAAATATATTTTAAAAAATCCACGTCTAATTTTTCTTTAAAATATATTTTTAAAAAATCCACGTCTAATTTTTCTTTAAAATATATTTTTAAAAAATCCACGTCTAATTTTTCTTTAAAATATATTTTTAAAAAATCCACGTCTAATTTTTCTTTAAAATATATTTTTAAAAAATCCACGTCTAATTTTTCTTTAAAATATATTTTTAAAAAATCCACGTCTAATTTTTCTTTAAAATATATTTTTAAAAAATCCACGTCTAATTTTTCTTTAAAATATATTTTTAAAAAATCCACGTCTAATTTTTCTTTAAATATATTTTTAATAAATCCACGTCTAATTTTTCTTTAAAATATATTTTTAATAAATCCACGTCTAATTTTTCTTTAAAATATATTTTTAAAAAATCCACGTCTAATTTTTCTTTAAAATATATTTTTAAAAAATCCACGTCTAATTTTTCTTTAAAATATATTTTTAAAAAATCCACGTCTAATTTTTCTTTAAAATATATTTTTAAAAAATCCACGTCTAATTTTCTTTAAAATATATTTTAAAAAATCCACGTCTAATTTTTCTTTAAAATATATTTTTAAAAAATCCACGTCTAATTTTTCTTTAAAATATATTTTAAAAATCCACGTCTAATTTTTCTTTAAAATATATTTTTAAAAAATCCACGTCTAATTTTTCTTTAAAATATATTTTTAAAAAATCCACGTCTAATTTTTCTTTAAAATATATTTTTAAAAAATCCACGTCTAATTTTTCTTTAAAATATATTTTTAAAAAATCCACGTCTAATTTTTCTTTAAAATATATTTTTAAAAAATCCACGTCTAATTTTTCTTTAAAATATATTTTTAAAAAATCCACGTCTAATTTTTCTTTAAAATATATTTTTAAAAAATCCACGTCTAATTTTTCTTTAAAATATATTTTTAAAAAATCCACGTCTAATTTTTCTTTAAAATATATTTTTAAAAAATCCACGTCTAATTTTTCTTTAAAATATATTTTTAAAAAATCCACGTCTAATTTTTCTTTAAAATATATTTTTAAAAAATCCACGTCTAATTTTTCTTTAAAATATATTTTTAAAAAATCCACGTCTAATTTTTCTTTAAAATATATTTTTAAAAAATCCACGTCTAATTTTTCTTTAAAATATATTTTTAAAAAATCCACGTCTAATTTTTCTTTAAAATATATTTTTAAAAAATCCACGTCTAATTTTTCTTTAAAATATATTTTTAAAAAATCCACGTCTAATTTTTCTTTAAAATATATTTTTAAAAAATCCACGTCTAATTTTTCTTTAAAATATATTTTTAAAAAATCCACGTCTAATTTTTCTTTAAAATATATTTTTAAAAAATCCACGTCTAATTTTTCTTTAAAATATATTTTTAAAAAATCCACGTCTAATTTTTCTTTAAAATATATTTTTAAAAAATCCACGTCTAATTTTTCTTTAAAATATATTTTTAAAAAATCCACGTCTAATTTTTCTTTAAAATATATTTTTAAAAAATCCACGTCTAATTTTTCTTTAAAATATATTTTAAAAAATCCACGTCTAATTTTTCTTTAAATATATTTTTAAAAAATCCACGTCTAATTTTTCTTTAAAATATATTTTTAAAAAATCCACGTCTAATTTTTCTTTAAAATATATTTTTAAAAAATCCACGTCTAATTTTTCTTTAAAATATATTTTTAAAAAATCCACGTCTAATTTTTCTTTAAAATATATTTTTAAAAAATCCACGTCTAATTTTTCTTTAAAATATATTTTAAAAAATCCACGTCTAATTTTTCTTTAAATATATTTTTAAAAAATCCACGTCTAATTTTTCTTTAAATATATTTTTAAAAAATCCACGTCTAATTTTTCTTTAAAATATATTTTTAAAAAATCCACGTCTAATTTTTCTTTAAAATATATTTTTAAAAAATCCACGTCTAATTTTTCTTTAAAATATATTTTTAAAAAATCCACGTCTAATTTTTTTTAAAATATATTTTAATAAATCCACGTCTAATTTTTCTTTAAAATATATTTTTAATAAATCCACGTCTAATTTTTTTTTTAAATATATTTTTAATAAATCCACGTCTAATTTTTCTTTAAAATATATTTTTAATAAATCCACGTCTAATTATTTAAGGAAAAAATATTTTTAAAAAAATCAACTTTTGAATCGTCCATGAAAAATTATTTTTTAAAAAATCGACTTTTGAATCGTCCATGAAAAATTATTTTTAATAAATCAACGTTTAATTTCTTTATGAAAAAAAAAATTAAAAATCCACGTTTGATTATTCAATGAAAAAATATATATTTTGTAAACGTCTGATTCTACTATAAAAAATTTTTTTCAAAAAAATCCACATCTGATTCATCTTTAAAAAATTATTTTCAAAACATTCTCGTCTAATCTATAAAATATATTTTTAAAAAATCCACTTCTAAATATTTGAAAAAAAAAATATTTTTAAAAAATCAACGTTTGAATTGTCCATGAAAAAATATTAAAAAAAAAAACATTTTTCTTTTTTAAATCAGAAAAATGTTTTCAATGATTTATTTATTTTTTTTACTCAAAAAATAAAAAAAAAACTTAGAACTTAAATACAAAAATAAAAATAATTAGAAAAAAAATATTTCCTAAAAAATTATAATTAATTCATTTTTATTTTTTCTTCTTTTCAGATTATTTTGTGATCAACGATACCAAAGGATAAGAACATAAAGGGTAAGTAGCTTTTCTATTCCACCACAAAAATTTCGCCCCACCTTCTAATGACAATCCCCACTCCCCTCCTCGCCAAAAAATCGTTTCATCTTCTTCTTCTTTCATGTGTCCACCCGCCCTCCTCCTCTCTCTAATACCTAACCTCTTGATTGCTAATTATTATCTTTCATTTCATCAATCACACAATTCCCCCCTCTCTGCAAAATTAATCTACACATTCCGATGAACCATAACGAGCACACGTCCCTGAATTGGTATTTGCTTTTCAACGTTGTTTTTTTTTCTCCGTAACCACAAACGTTGCAAGCCGTTGCCTCACTTATCAATTGGAGCGCAAATATTCTTAACGATGACTACCTAATTTCGTTTGAAAAAAAATGCGAACGAACGAAAATCAACAAAAATATATTTGATAAACAAATTATCGATAAAGTTGTTTTGCGCGTGTATGTATGTTGCCTACTTTTAGGGGGTGTTAATGAATTTTGCATTGGCTTATTTGCCGGTTTGGTTTTGAGTTCCATGTTCTTTAGCTCCCCTCTAGGAGAAATGCAAAATTCAGTTATTTGCTCCAATTCGCAATTAATTTTTTTCCTTTGAAGAAATACAAAATTTTTCAAACACAAAGAGATCAAAGGAGGCTCAAAGAAAGCTCAATGGAAATTATATAAGTAAATTAATTGATCTTTGAAAAAAAAAAATAAAAAAACGTCAGATTGATCCACGAAAAATATCTTTTAAATACCCATGTCATTCTTGAAAAATATCCTTTAAAAGTCTGGTAGGTTTTTTTGGTTTTTGAAAATCAATTTTTATTAAGTTCTTAATTTTTGTGGAAATAAACGTCCGCATGGTTTTTAAAAAAGTATTTTTAAAAACACGTCGGGTTGATCCTTAAAAAAGGTTCTCTACAAAATCCACGTCAAGTTTATTCTTGAAAAAAAAATCTTTAAAAAGTCCATGTTGGGCTGATCCTTGGAAAAATATCCTTTAAAAAAAATCCACGTTATGCTGATCCATGAAAAAAGATATTTTAACAAATCCACTTTCCTTAATAATATCTTTCAAAAAAATTAAGTCTTTGAAAAATATCCTTTAAAAAATCCACGCCCTTGAAAAATATTCTTAAAAAAATCCACGTCCTTGAGAAATATCCTTTAAAAAATCCGCTTCTTTGAAAATGTTCTTAAAAAAATCCACGTCCTTGAAAAATATCCTTTAAAAATGCAAGTCCTTGAAAAATATCCTTTAAAAAGTCCATGTCCTTTAAGAATATCCTTTAAAAAATCCAGGTCCCGGTCAAAGGTCCTTTAAAAAATCGACGTCCTTGCAAAATATCCTTTAAATAATAGACGTCCTTGAAAAAGGATATTTTAACAAATCCACGTCATTCGAAAATATCCTATAAAGAAATCCACGTCAGGTTGATTCATAAAAAAAATCCTTTAAAAAATTCACGTTAGGCTGATCCTTGAAAAATATTCTTTGGAAATACACGTTCTTGAAAATGTCCCTAAAAAAATCTACGTCCTTGACAAATTTTCCACATATTTAAAGAAAGACCTTTAAAAAATCCACGTCAGGTTGATTTATCCTTGAGGAATATCCTTTAAAAACCACACCAGATTGATAATTGAAAAATATCCCTTTAAAAAAATCCACGTCCCTGACAATTGTTCTTTAAAAATCCACGTTCCTGTCAAATGTCCTTTAAAAAATCGACGTCCTTGTAAAATATCCTTTAAAAATAGACGTCCTTGGAAAATACCCTTTAAAAAACGACGGCCTTGAAAATCCTTTGAAAATGCACGTTAGGCTGATCCTTGAAAAATATTCTCTGAGAAATTGAAAAATATCCTTTGAAAATTCACGTCCTTGAGAATATCCCTTAAAAATCTACGTCCTTTACAAATTGTCCACATATTTAAAAAAAAAAACCTTTAAAAATTCTACGTCAGTTTGATCCTTGAAAAATATGCTTTTAAAAAATCCACGTCAGTTTGATCCTTGAAAAATATGCTTTTAAAAAATCCACGTCAGTTTGATCCTTGAAAAATATGCTTTTAAAAAATCCACGTGAGTTTGATCCTTGAAAAATATGCTTTTAAAAAATCCACGTCAGTTTGATCCTTGAAAAATATGCTTTTAAAAAATCCACGTCAGTTTGATCCTTGAAAAATTTACTTTAAAAAATCCACGTCAGGCGGATCCTAGAAAAAATCCTTAAACAAATCTACGTCAAGTTGATCCTATGAAAATATCCTTAAAAAATTCACGTCAGGTTGATCCTTGAAAAATATGCTTTTAAAAAATCCACGTCAGCTTGATCCTTCAAAAATATGGTTTTAAAAAATCCACGTCAGTTTGATCCTTGAAAAATATGCTTTTAAAAAATCCACGTCATGTTGATTTATCCTTAAAAATATGTTTTTAAAAAATCCACGTCAGTTTGATCCTTGAAAAATGGCCTTTAAAATATCTACGCCAGGTTGATCCTTAAAAAATATCCTTTAAAAAATTCACGTCCTGTTGGTTTTTTAAAAACCAAGTTTTTTTTTTTTTGGAGAAACCACTTCAAGTTGATTGTTGAAAACTTTTTTTTTTGAAAATCCACGTCAAATTGATCCTTGAAAAAAATATTTTTGGAAAATCAACTTCTGGTTGATCCCTGAAAAAATATTTTTTTGAAAAACCACGAAAAACCACGTGGTTGGTTTAAATTTTTATTTTTTTTCTTTTGAAAGCCCACGTCAAGTTGATCCTCGAAAGTCCAACGTCTGCTTGGCTCTTGAAAATATATATATTTTGAAAATCCATTGAAAAATTCAAGGATGAACCTTGAAAAAATATGCTTTTGAAAATCAACGTCTGAATAGTCATAGAAAAAATATTATTTTAAAAATCAACGTCAGACTTTAACCGGAAAAAATATTTTAAAGATCTTCATCAGGTTGATATTTTAAAAATCCACGCCTGGTTGGTCATTAAAAAAAAATAAATTAATTAAAATACAAGTCTGACTGGTCCTGGAAAAAAATTTGAGATAAAAAATCCACGACTTACTAGTCCCGGAAAAAACCTTTTTTTAAAAATCTGAATGATTCTGGAAAAAATATTATTTTTAAAATCCATGTCCTACTGGTCCTGGAGAAAATATTATTTTAAAAATTCACGTCCGAGTGGTCCTGGAAAAATATTATTTTAAAAACACAGGTCTCTTTGCTTCTGGAAAAAAAATATTTTAAAAATCCACAAAAAAATATTTTAAAAATTCACTAGTCCTAGGACTTGTTCGTCCTTGAAAATATATATATTTTATAATCCACATCTGACTATTTCTGAAAAAAAATGCACGTCGGAATGATCCTTGATAAATATAGTTTTAAAAATCTTCGTCTGACAGGTCCCCAAAAATATACTGGTCCTGCAAAAAATTTTATTTTAAAAATCTACGTCTGAGTGGTCCTGGAAAAAATATTATTTTAAAAATCCACGCCCGAGTGGTCCTGGAAAAATATTATTTTAAAAATCCACGTCTGAGTGTAACCGGAAAAAAATAATTTATTTACCACGTCTGCTTGGTTCTTGAAAAAAAATATTTTAAAAATCCACGCCTGGTTGGTCATTGAAAAAAAATAAATAAATTAAAGTCCAAGTCTGGCTGGTCCTGGAAAAATTTGTTATAAAAAATCCATGACTTACTAGTCCCGGAATGCTTTTTTTTTTAAATATACGTCCGAATGATCCTGGAAAAAATATTATTTTTAGAATCCACATCTGACTGGTACTGGAAATATTATTATTTTAAAAATCCATGTCCTACTGGTCCTGGAAAAAATATCATTTTAAAAATTCACGTCCGAGTGTTCTTGGAAAAATATTATTTTAAAAATACAGGTCTCGTCGGTTCTGGAAAAAATATTATTTTAAAAATCCACCTCTGAGTGGTCATTAGAAAAAAATTATTTTAAAAATCCACATCTGAGTGGTCCTGGAAAAAATATTATGTTAAAAATCCGCGTCTAACTGGTCCTGGAAAAATATTAGTTTAAAATCCACGTCTGAGTAGTCCTGGATATTATTTTAAAAATCCACGCCTGACTGGTCCTGACAAAATATTTTTTAATATCCCTTCTACTGGTCCTGGAAACACTATTTGGATTTTAAAAATCCAAATATGGTTGGTCCTGGAAAAAATTTTATTTTAAAAATCCCTGTCTAACTGAAATTCGTTGCTGAGGTATTCTCCCGCAATATTGCTTCTCAATTCAATAATTTATCAAACTGCAGAGGAATATTTCTTTAATTTTTTCCCAATAAGTTCACCAAAACGACCCCTTGGCTACGAATTTGAAGCTTCTTCTTCCCTGCAATTGTTTTTCTTTTTTCTCCAGCAAAAAGTATTACATCCTGTTTACTTTGGACTTACTTTCCTTCAAGTCCTTGGTACACATGCCACAACACATATAAATATTTACCAAAATAGGAAATTTTCCTCCCAAGGAAAACTGTTCGTCCCCTTTTTAAATATTCCACATGTATCTAAGAGGATGTATACATTTTTCGTTCATACAATATATATGAACTTATATTATGCCACAATGCCTCTGTCTTTATTCCGACACATGCTAAGTATTATTATCTCCACCTTCGGTTTGACTAACATATGAACTACTCTACTCTCCCCAATTGAAGTTCTCGTCCTGTAGGCTCTGTTCTGTTTTGCAACCTCCCTGATTTGAATGGGGTGTTGGATATGAGTTTTTCGCTTTAATACCTTCGCCGCTTTCTACTTTTGTACCTATGTGTGACACACATACATACATAAATACATCTGTATTAATATTGGACCTCATACAATATTCATTGTTCAAACTATTTGTCTAGAGGTACCCTAAACACACACATACACAATTCTTATTAACAGTTAGGAAAATGCTTAGATGTTTTTGCTGTTGTTGTAATTGTAATACTGGATGCAGTTATTAACTGTAAAGGAG